CTGTCACTAAGACACCATGAAGATAAGCAGTACCATGTGGAATACCCTGTAGCAGAGTGTCCATGGTTCTTTGGAAAACTGCTGGACTGGAGGAAACTCCAAAAACCAAATCTGTTGTTCTTGAAAAGTCCTTTACATGTGTTTATGGTCACAAACTGTTTTGACTCTTCATCCAAGATCAGCTGTTATGTATGTCTCATATCAAACTTTTCCATCCTGCTTCAGCACTGGGACAATCAGGGCTGCCCATTGTGAAAATTGACTGGGCTCTATGACACTTTCATTGCACATGGCAGAGCCGTGGGGTTAATAAACCTGGGGGTGGCATTAGGGTCCACGCTGAGCTTCAGTGTGACAGCCTGCAGAATGCTGAGCTCAGCCCCAAACACATCAGGATATTTTTGAATCACATCCCCTGCACACTGTCCCCGCATGGGTTTGATTTCATCTCAGTTCAGTTTAATTTTCCTGAGCCAATCACAGCCTAACAAACTTGGCCCCGCCCATTTTACTACTAACAAGTGGCCTTTCGCCGGCTGACTGCCACAAGCAATGTCCACCTCCAAAGCACCTTACGATGGAATCACCTCTCCTGAGATTGATGGGTGACTCAACAAGGGTAGATGCCTCCAAACCAGACCATAATTTCCCATAAGTGTCCTCACTTATGACATGCACTCATCCACCTGCGCGGTTTCCATCCTGACAGGCTTCCCATTGATGCTCACTGTGACATAAAGTGGTTCAGTTCGTGACTCAGTCATGCTGAACGCTGTATAAGAGCAGCCCTCCCCCTGCTGTGACCCCCTGAGTGTCATGTGACTTTAACACCCCTGCATTTCTTANCGTGACTCAGTCATGCTGAACGCTGTATAAGAGCAGCCCTCCCCCTGCTGTGACCCCCTGAGTGTCATGTGACTTTAACACCCCTGCATTTCTTACCTATCTGCTATGTGCTCCATCCTCCCTGACTGCTGAAGATTTTGCCAACTTCTTTGACGAAAGGATTAGCGAAATCTGCCAGACATTCTCTCCCTCCCCATCCACTACACACCCAGGATTTGCCTTCCCCCTCACTGACCCAGTTTTCCAGTCTTACGGCTGATGAGATCATGAAAGTCATGTTCTGGCACCAAGTCGGTGGAATGAACTCCCCCTAGATGTCCGAACAGCTGAGTCACTGAATGTCTTCAAAAGACGACTTAAAACACACCTTTTCCAGAAATACCTGAATTAGCACTTCTGGCATTATACTCAGTTCTTTCCTTTTATGAAAAAAAAGAAAAAAAACACACTTTCCTAACAGAGTATTAGATCGATGGTATTCATAGCCTTGGTTTTTATTGAGCTAGTATCGGGAAAAATTCATTGTAGAGTCTTAAAGCACTTATGTAAGTCGCTCTGGCTAAGGGCGTCTGCCAAATGCTGTAAATGTAAATGTAAAATGTAAAAATTTTTTGTTGCACTTGGACTTCATGATGCGTACAGATCACAAGCCCCTGATCTCCTTGCTAAGCTCTCGACCACTTGATGACTGACCTCTATGAATATTGAGATTCGCACTGAGGAAGGTGAGCTTCCAGTACAGAATCATTCATGTCTCAGGAAAACATCTGATAGTGGCTGATGCATTATCACAAGCTCCACTTGGACCAGAAAATACTAGAGACTGACACACTAATGTTAAACACAGAAAAAACAGAAGTACTGGTGATTGGTCCCAAGACTGCAAGAAATACGTTGCACCACCTCAGCATTAGTGGTCTTCTTACACAACCTAACATGATGGTTAGAAATCTTGGTCTTCTAGTTGATTCAGATCTATGTTTTGATGCTCACATAAGAAGTATTACTAGAACGGCGTTTTATCATCTATGGAACATAGCCAAGCTTCGTAAGATGCTCTCACGTAAGATGCAGAAAAATTAATACATGCCTTTGTAACTTCCAGACTGGACGACTGTAATGCCCTCCTTTCTGGTTGCCCGTCTGGATCCTTACATAAACTTCA